GCTCTTGTAAATATTCATGAAACTAAGATTAGCACAAAACCATGTAAGTGTTAAAGTAGTTGGCAGAATCTTAAAGCGAATAAATAATGCTATGTGTATGATATTTTGGTTTTGATATAAGGAGTTATGGTTCAATCCCTAAAATATCAATAACTTCGTCTCAACTTTAAAATTTTTACACCAGTAGAAAGTTCAAATCTTCAAGATATATTCTATTACGCATAGTAATATTAATATTAACTTTTCGAAAAAAAATATTAATATTACAAACTAGTGGGGGATTGTTGGATAGTTTGTAATATTTGAAAGTCTCATTTTAAAAGATAATTATTCAAGATGTGATCGTTCAAATTAAAACATAATTCTTTAAATAAACAAAAGTGTTTCCCACAAACACAATTATTGAAACACAACATATATATTTGTTAAAACATAACAGACACATTTGTTGTTAAGGGTGAGTAAATGAGTAGATTGGGTGGTTTGGTCTACCATACCTTAGGACCAAATAGACTAATCAATTTTAAAAAACCGACCAAAATTGATCAAATATAAATAAAGACCAAACTGACTAAATATAGAATTGGTTAGGTTGATCCGGTTTTGGACCAATGGATCAAAATTTTATCACTATTTTTTTACAAATTATAAAATTAAAACTTATAAACTTCATCCATAATTATTTATATATATATATATATGAAATTAATTATATAACTTATATGTTATAATGTTTTATATCAAAGTTTATATAAATAATAACTAATTATAAACAATATGTTATGAAATCTAGGGTGATGGCTAATAAACTTATTAAGTGTAATCATATAAATAAAATTTATTATAAGTTATAGTAATACTAATGTATAAATTAAATATATATAATATTAATGATACAAATTATTTATTAAAATGTTTTATACCAAAGTTTGTATAAATAATAACTAATTATTTACAATATGTTATAAAATCTAACGTGATAACTAATAAAGTTATTAAGTGTAATCATAAAAATAAAATCTATTATAAATTATACTAATGTTTATATATTATTAAATATATGTATGTATAATATATTTATACAATTATATATATTCATAACATTTTAGATTACAAAACATTACTAAGGTGTAATAATTATAATATATTAATATATAAGATATTTACTATCATATATTATAATATTAACATATAAGTTATATCATTTAAAATATAAAACTTGTAATTTCATATTAATACATATTTATAAATAAATATATATATAACTAATATTAAATTACTATGATAATAATTTGTATATATACATATAATACCCTAATATATTTTAAGTATATTATTAATTAGGTTTACTCTCTCAATTCCTCTTAATATATATAAAAAATTATATATATATATATATATATCAAATTAGTTTGCTTTTTTGGATGAATTGGTTCAAAAATTTTAAAACTCAGAACCGATCAAAAAACCAATTGGATCAAACAGTTTAGACTAATTGATCCAATGGACCAATTAAACTAAATTGTTTTACTCAAATCGTATTTGGATCACATTTGGTTTGGATAAATAATTGATCTGAATTGGTTTTACTCACTCTTATTTGTTGAAACACAATAGACATAATTTTTAGTATATATAGAAAGAGTACTCTCCAGTCAGATATAAACCTTCAAAAGCATTATGTAATAGATTTATTGTATTTTGAAAAGTTCTTGTTTGTAAATTCTTATAATAAGTAACAAGTATTACAGCACATCTCAAACCTTCTTGCTCCTTGTTATACTACTTTTCTAACAGCCATCAAACAGAGAAGATTGACAGGCACAAACTCAAGGCCTAGACATACGAATTTCAAGCAGATCTTCCATGCCCAACTAAAGAACCAAAGCAAACACAATCGTCCAACAGAAGAGATTGTCAGCTCAAACAACATGGCAAAAACAAACGAACTCCACCCAGATCAGCCCACTCATTAGTTGAATACCTGCAAAAGATCCTGCTGTCAACGAACCCCGGCGTTGACAAGGGCATCCGCCGTCTTGTTGCCAGCTCGAGATATATGATTTATGTTCCAGTTGCTCACTTGAGGTTTGATACTCTCGTTATGTAGAATCTACTTCCTTAGCTTCCATGGTGTAAAGAAAGGGTTTAATACCCAGTTGGCCGCATTAATTAAACACATTCTATTATCAAGCAATGAGACTTTGTCCGTATTGAAGCGGAGAACATAATAAACGTTTCTCTAATAACAAACAACTAAGCAAGGTTCGAATTTCCAATATTATTAGACTTAGAAAATAAGATATTAATAAAACCTATCTCTTCTCGTCTCGTATCGTGCAATCCATCTTATTCCGGCTGCCTCAGGACAACCCTTTTCCACTCCATCATCGTTGAATTTGGAAGAGCTAGGAACAGGACATTGCCACGCTGAAACATTTTTCCTCACTTTCAAATTATTTGGGTCACGGTTGTTTTTTGAATCTGATTGTGTTCGTCATGAATTTATTTTCCTTTGGTCATTTAATTTAACCCACCATACAATTTAATTTTAATGACATCAAACAATTGGGAGATATCTAGACATTTTCTATGTCATTCTGCAAAGCAAAATAAATCAAATAATGGTAAAACAAAATGTTATGAGCCATATCTTGTCCTCAGCCCTGTTCGAAAAGCAGCTTTCCATACCACGAATAGTTGAGCAACATCTTGAGGTGCAACCCAAGCCAAACCCACGTATTATTTAAATCTCGATGGAGTTATGCTTTATGTCAATCTCATTGAGAAGATCATAAACAAGTACAAATTAAAACTTGGGAATTAAAAAAGTAAGCACTCCATATGATGTTTTGCCCAAGCTGCTGGAAAATTTTGGAAACTCAATTAGAGTATGCTAGTGTTATTGGTAGTCTAATGAATCCTATGCGTTGTACTAGACTTGAGATATTCTATATAGTTTGTAAACTTTCATAATATACAAGTAATTCAAGTCCTGAACACTTGAAAGCAATTGAAAGAGTCAAAGATATCTTAAAAGAACTTGGAGACTATGACTAATTTATTAAAAGTATCCAGCAATGCCGGATGGTTTCACTTATGCTAGCATTTCAAGAGTTTGCTCCTTTTTTTTTTTTGTATAAAACCTCACTTGTGGGGACTTTAGATTATTTCACTTCATTGTTTCATAGAAATTCAAGGGCAAGGTTGCGCAGGTGTTACTTTTTTTTGGATAAATAACTACCGAACTATTTATTGTTAGTGATATAAATGAGTATGAGTAACTCGAAAAAGTTATATATAGAAACAATGACTCCACATCCTCGTATGATGTTATCCTCCATGTATATGCTCAACCATCATTGCAATCATGAGAACCCTTGATATTTAAGCGGATTGATCATGAAAGGAAATGGATGATTCACTATTTCTTTTTTTCAACTCCCTACTCAAAAAATATAATTTTAAAAGAAGAAACTTAGGGTTATATAAGAATAATTAATTATGTTGGTGTTGATATTATCTCATCTTCTAGCTTAGTTTCATGCAAGTTGCTCCATAAAATAAGATTTAAGGATTGTGCTAAATGATGTAAAAAAAGAAGATCAGGAAAGAGAAAAAAACAATGTCGACCGTGTATACTTATTAATATAAATTTTAGGTATATACATTTCATGTGTTACAATATTTATCTTCAATATGTGCTCAGATACTAATCCACCAAAGAAGCAGCAGCTAGAAGGTAGGGGTGGCTTGGCTTAGTGGGTCGTAGCTTGATCAGGAAGAATATTGGGATTACCTAAAAAGGTTAGAAGACGTGATGTTTGAGAGCGATGAGCTACCAATTACATGTGAAGCTAAGAGACAGGGATTTGCTTGGAACGGTGACATTATGGATGAGATTAGGGACTCAGTAAAGGAGATTAGTCTTTTCAAATATGGAATGTGGTGGTACATCTTCGCTAGTCACACTTCCACTTGCGTCCATGTGGTAATCTCTACACTACATTCTAAACAAATACTACAAGATTAGGCTTTTTCTCTTTCTATTGGCCTCTTGTTTGTCAACCAACTTATGTCTTCCTCTAACTATATATTAGCCAGATTAATTTTATTTGCAAAAATACTTTTTATTTTGCAAAATTGAAATTTGGGAACATTAATAGGAAATAATTTAATGATTAACTTTGCACCACCATTTGCTTTTGTTATGATCTTTCCAATTTTTTTAGAATTTAGACAATTATATGATGTATGAAAAGACATGAGAGATGGTGGTATATAGATATAGACATATGAAGCTTTGTAATTATTTTAAGAGTCAAGTTAATGGGTGTTTATAGGTATATTCGTCACAAATTATATAACGCTTTGTAATTATATATAGAGTTGAATTGAATTGTAAGTATTTTAAATAATAGTTTAAACCACGCCTGAATATCAAGTTTTGAATTTTTTTTAATATATAATATACAAATAAAATATTATTATAGTTTTTATCATATTTATAAATTTTATTTAATTTTAAAACTCAAGCTTACTTCAATTTCAAGCTCTTTTTTAAACCAACAGTAATCAAATAAATTTATATAGTATTGTATCAAGTTAGCTTGATTTGTTTAGATTTCTATTCGATAAATAATTTAAAAAAATCTAAAAAAAAGTTCATTTTTGGGTAAATGTAAGAAAATAAGAATTCATTTAAAAGAATTTTAATATAATTATTACAAGAAGAAAAAGGTTTCGAAGTACACCAGATAATACTGAAGTAAATTACTGATTATCTCATAGGAAAATAATTAAGACATATTATGAGCCTAATAAGCGTAATCAGTAAAAAGGAAAAGAAAGAACACAAGGCAATGAAAAGACATTGCTTCTACCTGTTCAAATTTAAAGCCTAGATGCTACTCGCTACCCCTAGCATCCTTTCAGCACTCTGAATAGGGCCAATTTCGTAATTCAAACTATCATCAATTAAATTTGAGCACGTGGCATTCTTATATAGCGATTATCAAATATATTGTAGACGGCCGAGAAGAAGAATGCTGAAGCGATTTTCTAACATTTTAGAGGCATAATCATCTTTTCCCTCGTTTTGTTTCATTTCAAAATTCAAAAAACGACCCAACAACTCTCCTCCTTTTCTCTGTTAGATCACCGATTAAACCTTAAAAACGCATTAACCAAAAAAAAAATCCGATAAATGGTATGCGGTTTCCTGAATGGAGAGTTAGGGTTGGGGATAATCACGAGATCAGTGGTGAGATTTCTTGATCAGACGGTTTGCAGAGCCATGGGATGTTTCTTTGGATGCTTTCGCGTCAGAGACGATCGCTCCCGCCCTCACCTCGTCTCCTCCTCCTCCAAAACCACCGTGCGCTTTGTTTTGTTTTTTTTTCCAATTTCTTTTCCGGTTATCTCGCTCCTCTGTTTGGTTCCTGAGAAAATCCAGTTCAAGAAACACTTTCTTGTTTTCTTTTCTGAGAACAAATTTTAGGATAATGAAAAGGTATTTTTGTTTACGTTTGGCTAATTATATCCATATCCTTAAGCAGGAACGTGGAGTTTCTCGAAATCGTTTATCGTCGCTCTTTCTGGATGAAGGTAATGCTAAATTTTGAATCAGCTAATTTCAAGATTTTGTTTTTTCAATAGAAATTTTGGTTCTCAAACTTGAATTTTCCCCTGTTTGAAATTGAACCTTCTTTTGTTTTGATTCTAAAAGAGAAAGGAGATTGTCCATCCAATCATTTGGGGTCTCCACAAATTGATAAAGGTCTCAAGGATGAGGTATGTTCATCGAGCTATCTGATTTAGATTGGTTGCTTTAACTGTTCAATGCAAATTTGAATTCAAAAATTTTACCTTCCTGCAGGCGAAATTCCTTAAAGCTTGTGGAACAATACCAGAGACTCCGTCTGAAATTCGTAAAGCATCTCGGAAGTTTAAGCAGTCGCCGCCTTATAGTGGGGATTCAGAACCTTCAAAATTTCATTCCTGGCTTCCCAACACATCCATCGATAAGTTTCAGTTGGATAAGCAATCTGATCAGCCCCCTACGCCCATCAAACTTTTCGAGGCGTTGGGGAGGGGGCCAGATTCTTTGGAAAATACACCTACCAGGTTTCGACTTCTGACCTTAAATTTTTATCAACAAATCAAAACATGTTTCATCTTTACATAATTGTGAAGCTGCTTGACATTTGACTGGTGCCGTTTCATTCATAGCAGCATATCAAATGCAGCAAACACTGGGAGGTTCTCTATAGGTTCTACTGAAGGTAGTGAGGCACTGAGTGTTGATAAAACAGTCAAGACTGATATTGTTTCGACTTCAGCTTATGGAAGGAACAAGTCTGTACGCTTTGAATGTGAATCTGATGCATCTTCTTCAAAATCTGAAAACGGTGGTCAGAATTCAAAGAAACTTGAATTACCAGGTTACCAAAGTGCATCAAAGCCCTCGCCCAATCCAACCCCATTAAAGCTTTCTGATGAAATGCAAACCCCTGGAACTGTTTTTCCTTCAAACCTAGAAACCTTGGCAAATGGGAAGACTCGGATCAGGTCTCAATATGTTTATTCGGTCTTGAATCCAGCTGAGAATGCCTCTCAGTTGAATGCGATGAAAGAGGAGCCATTTAGCTCCAAAGAGATGTTGGGTGAGCTGAAAAAATCTCCCGAGCGAGCAGAAAATGCCACCTTCAAGCTAGGAGTGGGAGTAGAAGGAACTTCTCGGGCAGAAGAGTCAGAGGTGGAAGGAAGCTTGTCTTCTTGGCTGAAGCCAAAAGAGTATAACATTGATGATCGTTATAAAAATATCCAGTCTACTTATAGCAAACTCCCTCCTTTTGGTGGAATCCCTGGGGACAGGCCCATCATTGGTATGGTTGCTGCTCACTGGAATGAGGAAGAGTCTTCCCATATAACGCCCAAGTGGTGGGATGGGAATGGAATCCCAAATTCAACTAATAAATACAAGGAGGTAAATCTTTTTGCTGGCGGCATTATCTTCTTGCAGTATAGAGCTATGCTTGATGAATGCTTGTCCTGTTTGCAGGATCAGAAAGTCAGTTGGCATGCAACTCCATTTGAAGAGAGGCTGGAAAAGGCACTGTCTGACGAGAGTCTCATCTCTCAGAGGTATGCTTGCCTTTTTGCTTTGCCAATTTTTTGTCTGTGATTCTATTTTATATTATTGCAATTTGGGGCATAGGAGTTCAGATTCAAAGTATTTTACCTCAAAACTCAAAACCTCTTCTTAACGAAGTACTTGGTCTGGGTAGTTGTGAGAAGCACAGTTTAACGTTGTTTTACGCACTTGAAATATGGACGCAGCTTGCTAGTCATACATTCTGTACCTCAACATCAATATCCGCTTTCCTTTTTCTTGTTTTCGATTTTTCTAAATTGGAGTATAGATGTTGTAGTCATGGTTTTTGTAACTAAACAGCAATTCCTGTTTTTCTTTTTATTGTTTTTAATTTCCCTAAATTTGTTGTGGCTGAGTTGATTTGCATATTCATAGTATTTGTTAATATTTAGTATCATAATGCAAAGGAGATTCATATTTATTGGCATTAATACTAAAGATCCTTTCCTTTTACTCATTAACAAAAAAATACGTTGCATGTATGTTGTCAAAAAAGTGTACAAATAGCAGCCGAAATGACTAGGCAAACTGCTTAGCTAAACTCGTGTTTCTAGCAATAATCTCTGTTTGAAAACAGAGAGCAAGTAGGAGTGAGAAAAGTACCTGCAACAGTGGCATTGAGAATTTTGCTACATCATTATACTTTGCAGTCAGCATGGTTATTATAAAATCGTAGAAAACACTAGTAGCTAGTTGCATAGAGAACAGATTATAACCCCTGTAATCAAAATGCGTTGCACAAGCAATTACCTACTTTTGATATGAACTGTTTTTGGGATACCTTTAGGTTGGGTGTCTACATCTTTGACCCCTCTGTTGGCCCTTGTAAACAAATTGAAGGAATAACTTCATATTCAACAATTTTGCTGAAGGTGACCTTTTTGCTGGATAACAACATTGTAGATGAAGTGTAAACAAATGGGGCAGGATTGTTTCTGTCTGATTAAAGTTTCCAATATGGTCCATTCTTCATGCGGGAGTGGAAATGATTTTACTTAGTAGTAACGCTATTTGTTTTAAACTCCTACTGTTTCAACTTTATATCACACTAATTCTGATTGCTAATTTTAATTACAGTAAGCATGTCAACAAAACACCAATGGTTTTTGATGAGACTGATGAAAGCGATACTGCTCTGTCTGAGCTGCGACCTTCCTCACATTCCAAATCAGTTGTTTCATTCTGACGAAGAGTGGTATTGTTCCTCCATTGAATCTCAGATGTAACTGAGTCCTTTAAAGCATGAACCAAGGGTTTTAAAATGATGAAATATTATGGCCGGTTTGTCTTAAGCCATTTCAACAGAGATGTTCATGGGAATCATGCTGTGTTAATAGTCATGTCAGCAGGATTTAGGGTCTGGTTGAAGTGTATATCAGTGATTCATATGACAATCGGTTCTTAAATGATTTTGATATCATTTTGTAATTCTTGGCACCGTGAGTTACACACCGTTTTCAATGTCTGCTGCATCACAGTTTCAATATCCTTAACGGGATTACTGTTAGTTACAGGAATTGGGCGGATCAAGTTTAGGTTCACGTGTGGCAGATGGGCATTGGGGTTTATGCAGCTTGGACTAGAATTTAGGCCCATAGGATAACTATCATCATGAGGTGGTAATTGGAGGTAAAACCCAAAACGTTCCTTTACATCACTTCATAAAGACATTTTAATCCTTTTTATTTTAAAATAATGTTTTTGATTCTTTGAATGTTAATACTGTTAATTAATAATTAAAAAAATTAAATTTAATATTATATAAATATTTTAAAACTTAAATATTTTTTATATTATTTTTTAAATTTAAGCATATTCTCTTTAAAAAAAATCGATTCATCTTTCTCTCAAAACCTTAATAAAAAAATTTTTATATAAGGTTTGATTTGAAAACTTGGAAATTTGTAGCTCTATTTGTCTTGAAAATCATAAGTTTCTTTTTTAAGTTAAAGTTTATTATCATTAAACTCTTTATTTCTTTAATAGTTTTAAATTTTTTTTTGAAAAGAATATATTAAAAGTAAATCTTTTGTTAAATGATGGTAATTGAAAGTTAATGTTGTCAGATCAAGAGATTAATTCTTTACTTGAGACTATTAATTTTGTTGAAAAATTTTTACTTGAAATTTGTTTTTTGAATGTAGGGTTTAAGATGATGTAAAAAAATTTTGATTTGATTATTATATATTGAAAGTTTAAAGTCTTGACGGTGCATCATGTAGTGGGCTTCATTCTCTATTTATAAGACTTAAGCTTTGTTGCGTTTTTGTTTTTGATTTCCTAGTTCGGTTTTGTTGTGTTATTGATTTGGTTGGAGTTGAGTTTCGCTTATGATATAGTGCTTGTTGTACAGTTTTTAGGAAAGGGCTCTTGTGGCTAACTCGAGATTTGATGTGAAGACATCTTGATCTTCTTGCAACTTGGGAACGATCTAGAGTTTCTATTTTAATGCTCGGGTTTAGGTTTTTTGGGTTTTTGTTTGTACCATGGTCGGCAGCTGTTTATAGTTTTTTCATTATGAAATAAAAGTTGCTTTTCAAAAGGAAAATCAATTTAATTTTTTTTTTCATTATGAATTTTATTAAATTTTAAGTTTTTTTATTAAATATTTAATTTTATTAAATATTAAAATAAATTTTATTAAGTTTTAGAAGGAAATATGAATAGATATTTTTTAAAATAGTATTTGTATATTAAAATATTTATGTAGTATTGGATATAATTTTTTTTAAAAAAATTGATTAACAGTATTAATAGTTTAAAGAATTAAAAAAATTATTTTAAAATAAAAGGGATTAAAAAAATTAATAGTTTAAAGAGGTTTTTCGAATTTTATCTTAAGTTTGAAAGCTCGGCCCAACTCAAGTGAGTTTGGGCATAGATTTCAAGGCTTGAATCTGCACTGACTTGCAAATTTGATAAAAGTACCCAGATGAGAAATCTTCTTTAAAAGTCCGATTCATTCTCAAAAATCATAGAAATAGGCTAATGGAGTTGTGGGGTTGCAATAACGGAGGGTTTGGTCTTAAAAACCGGTATGACTGGAAACTAGCTTATGTTTTCGGTGAAATTCTTTGTATTATTGGAAAAATGCATCTTGAAGTTGTATACCTAGTGGAAAATGCATCATGGTTACTTTTGCAAATTAGTTTTATTGCATCCTTTCACAAACCAATTGAGTTGCCAAATGCATTTATCGTTCTTCAGCTTCAAAACTTGAACTTGTAAACAAAAACGTAACTATTTAGTTAATAAATATTCGTCATTGCGATTTTGCAAACCATTTAAGTGATACTATTGTTTTCCTATGTATAACTGTTATTAAAATTGGATTTTGAGTATAATATTCCTATTATACACATCTATCTTTTCATATTTTTAAAAAATTTTACGTTTTAAAGTCTTTATATATTACTATTACCTTTTGACAAGTTAGCATTTATAATCAAATAAAATACTAACATAAATGTTGTTCATGCAATGCAGTTCAACATTCAAGAAACCACTGTGAAGTATCCTCAAGCCTGCTACAAACTTTTTGTTTTACCTTTTGTTATTTCAACAATTGCAAATCAAAATGCTTTCTCCCTTTTGTATGAAGGCAAAAACCGCACACAAATTGTATGCTTTTCATTCAATTTTTATGTATAACAAATTGTAAGAGTATTTATCGACAACTGCACACTAAGAATCTTTCTCGTTTTGTATGAAGGTAGCAACATCACCAATGCTACCTAATGGCTAAAGATACAATGCTTATATTTTTTAAAAAAATTATTTTATATATCTAAAATATTTACTAACAATTTTATATGTTGATGAAATTACTATTATGTGTCTATTTTTCTAGCTATCTTAAACGAAACTAAATATATATATATATATTTAATGCATCCGAACCCAGCACACGACAACGCACTAGTGATTATAAAAGTCGACACTCCAAACCATTTAATTGGATGGCCGACCAACAAAATAAGATAAGGCGAAAAGCAAGACCTGAAAGCAAACTGCTAAACAAAGTAGAAATTATTGAAAAGACCCATCTGAAACGCCATCGCTTCAATTCTTGAAAGGAACAGCATAGTGCTGGAGAACCTTTTGCCAGGAAGGTCTGCTGCTAATATCATCCCACCAAGCACTAACATGCTTCCTGCTCTTTATCATGTGCCCCTTTCCCATATGATCCACCAAGTACTGAGTAAATGGCAGGTGGCAAGGTCAGCGAGGCTGAAGAAATCACCAGCTAAGTAGTTGCTCTTGACAGCCTCTCCTCAAAATATCCAGCACCTTGGCAAGCTTTCCTCACTTCTTTGATCAAGTTTTCATCACGAGGCAACCCCAACTTGGAGGAAACCATGATTTTAACAGTCAGGGGACCATTGTGGGTTGTAGCTCTGTGCCTCGATCTCTAGCCAGTTTTTCAACAAGACTCTTTCCTCTACTGTCTTCCCAGCAGGCACCGCGCCCCAGCTTCGCGCCGCCACCACACCACGGCCACCTCGCAGCCCAGGCCCCCCCACCCCGCTGCCCCACTCCCCTCCACGCACCCAACCCGCCATACGCAACACACGCCCACGTCGCCACACACAAGCGAACACACCAACAGGCACCCTACTTAACTACCACTGAACAACAGACCCGCCACCCGCCCCCCACGCGACGACGCGACCCCACCGCCGAAGACCAACGAGACCCGCCGCCCACCCCCTCCAGCCGCCGACCCAGCAGCCCACCACCAACCGCCACGAACACCCGCCGCCCGCAACCCCGCCAACGCCCACACAACAGCACAGCCACCACTCGGCCCAGAGGGGCAACGCAGCCCAGGCACCCCATCCAACAGCGGACACACGGCCACCAGCGGCCGCCGTACCCGCCGCACACCGCCCACCCACCCCCCCCCCGGCACCGGGTCCGGACCAACCCCGCCCCCCACCACCCCCCCGCCGCCGACCGACCGCCACCTCGGCCACGACACACCCCCACGCCCCACCCGGCACCCACTACCCAACACAACCAGCCGCCCACCAACCCCGACCCCCCACCCCACCCGCCCCACCCCCCCACCGCCGAGCGCCCCCGCCAGCCCCGACCCCCGAACCACGCCCCCGCACCCACTCAACCACCCACAACGAGTCCACGCGCCCACCAGACGCGCCCAGCCCCAACGGAAGCAGCACGTCCACCCGGCCCGCCCCCCGCGAGCGCCAACACCCACCACCCAACCCACGCGCCCCCCTGCGCCGCCTCGACGCGCCACCCGCATTCACGCAAAGCCCGGCGCAGACCCCCGGCCCCCAACCCGTCCGCCCGAAAACCCGCTACACCTGACACACCAACCTCTGGGGGCCGAGGCCACGTCCCCCACCGACACGACTCCAACGCCGCCCCCCCACACCCCGCTCCGCCCCTACCCGCGCCCCCAACTGGCACGGAACCTGTGAAACCAGCACGCGCGTCCGTCGACCATGGGCGACAGTCCCGTACTCTGTGCCTCCATCTACACCACGTTCACACAAAGACCTCTCCCTACTAGGGTCCCCGCAGATCAGTTCCCTGTGACTTATACTTTCCGCATAGTACCTCATATGGCACGGGATTCTACAAAACTTGCATTATAAAATTCATCAAGCCATTTAATTATAAAAAAAATAAAATGTAAAAAGACAAATTAAAAGTAAGTACTCATAAATTAAACTCTTGCTCGACGCCTTTTGTTAGGCTTAGGCTATGCTTGGTTGGTAAGATTCTTGCAACTATATAACATGCAAAATCTTGACCCAAGTGTTCCAAGTGAAATTCTGCATGACTACCACTTTTACTATAAATAATGGTCAAAATTTTATAATTGTGTGGTTGTTAGTGATAGGGGAACCCACTCTTTTCCTTCCCTCTTTTCTATCTTCATGTAAAAGATTTGCTTCAATTGTTTATGCATAGTAGATTAGATAGGAAGATACAAGACTGGAAACAATAACCAAACATCGCAACAAAATGTAGAAGATAAGACAGTCGGAAGAAATTTGGCCTGCTGCCCCTTTTTTGCCCTTATATTTTCTCAAAGATCCTCAAGAAAAATCGGAAGAAGGTATCCTCTCAGTTTAAAAGTAAGAGAAGGGAGATTAATTACCATATAAAGTATAGTCTCCATCTTGAGTGACAGGAACTGTTCCTAAAGGCTGCAAACAGCAGAAAAGAACAGATTAACACAAACGTAAACATAATCTTCACTGAGAATTGGAACATGATTAAACAGTTTCTGCTTAAATTTTTTTTAAAAAGAAAGAAAATGTTGTAGCTGCTGACCTGCAACTTGAGGAATTCAGGGTCTTTGTGCTCTCCTTTGAGC